TTAGATGTGTCCAAGGCATAGATTACTCCTACTTCCTTGTGCATATGAACGGTAACTGTTAAGTAAATGTCCATCCAGTTTCCGATCGGGTTTGGAATATAATACTTATCCTACTTACTCTGATACATAATATGCATAACCGGTTACATAGGGAAACCAAAAAATAGGAAAATGCTCAAGAAGCAGACGCCACTGACTTGATGTGCGACGAGAGTATTCCGTCAAGATCTTTGAACGCTGGAAGCTCCAGAGCGGCATCAATGGCAATTTCTACTTCTTCCGCTGACATAGCAGGTTCCGAGTAACACGGTGTGATACCCTAAGAGTGAAAAAAGACGGTTTAAAAACAAACACTTGGAGAAACTACTGTTCAAGGAGACACATACGAGCAGCCACGTTGACTTATTATAGAAATGACAGAGAAAAAAAAAGCTACCTAATTACCGTATATTCCGGACTATAAGGAGCACTTAAAAGCCTTTAATTTCCTCGAAAACGACAGTGTGCTTTATAACCCGGAACGCCTTATATATCGATTAATTCTGCTTACTGACCTCGAAGCGATTTGGTGCGGTGGACGGCGCTGCGCTAATCCGTAGTCAGGAGCGTCGCGGAGTAATATATATTCTGTTTCGCCATAATATTGCGGGCTTTATATGGACGCCAAAATGGAACCGGTCAAGTGGCACGCTTGCGACGCGGACTCCAAACTCAAGGCTAACAGCCATGCAGTAGAACATGGGACAACAACAGCTGCGATAGGATTCAACGTTAATAAATCAATGATACGAAAGTCGAGGAAGCGAGAAGATGACCTGCGCCAAGTAAAGAAGACCAAACAGAGTTTCCGAGGGAAAAAAGCGAGAGAGCCATATTTAAAGTCAACATTGAACAGTAGGTTATGGAGCAGAGAGCAGCAGGTAGAAGCGTCTCTACCGTTTCTATTCAAACGAAGGCAACTACGTTAGCACGGGACATGAATATTAATGACTTTGGAGGTGGTCCTTTTTGGTGCTTTCGTTTTATGAAAAGACGTTATCTCGCCATCCGCACACAAACTACCATCTCCCAGCAATTGCTAAAAGATTATGAATAAAAGCTGGCCACTAAACAGTTTTAAAAGTTATTGTGAATACGTTCACTAGCGTCTGAACAATGTTGAGAGTTATTGTGAATGTGTACAATAAAGTTTGACGGACTGACTAAACGGACTTTTGTTTGCCGTAATGCGCCTCATA